GCACAAACCCACAAACGCATTTTAGTTTTTTTCATATGATCCTCCCTTCAGTCGAGGGAAATATATAGATTTCGCATGAAACTTTCAGAGTTTTATACATGTAAGAGTACAAAAACCATATAAACGTCCTGCAAAAGAATAGGTTTTGTGTGCACAAAAAGAAATCTGTCAAGAATTCCATTAAGCAACATCATTTTGTGCACTTATTCATCCTAATTACGTCTATGTTCGGTTGTATGATAGGCAAACCTAACTATAATGAAATTATTGTCATTTCTTAATGAATATGTGATCAATCTATTTTATATCTAGTCTGATTTTTTCATAAAAAGTGATTTTATTTGCTGTTTTTTTTGTTTGGTGTTCAAAAGTAACCTCGTCTAAATGTCAGTTCTAAGTAAATCAATATTGACTTTTGATAATTAATCATTAGAAAATATTCTCAAAAAAAAAATAATGATCTTGTAAATGATTGTATTTATTTTTAACTTGGTTTGCTGTCGTTAAAGTTGATTGTTATGCTATTCAATATCTATGCAGTCTTTATTTGATTAACTCATATACTGACTGCCTCTGTACACCTATGACAATTCATCATTGTATTTAGAGCAGCTGCACTCGGAGCTCGCACTCGATTTTATTTTTTCATTTTGTCGTTGATATACTGTTGGATATAAGATCCTATAAATAGATGTTTACATAAATTCTTTGAAATAAATTTCATTTTAATACACATAGAGAAGAAAAGTTAACATTTGAAGAATGTTGAGGAGCAACATCAATGCGATGTGCAAACGTAATCGACTTGCATTCAACGAATTAGAACATTCTGGAATTTATATGTGATGAACAATCGCATGATGAAGAATGCATATGATAATGGGCAGAGATGAAATTAAGAAATCTCGATAAAAATAGAGTGGGTGTGGATATGAGTGTAGAGAAGTTTCACACGTCCACACTCACATCCACATCCACCCACACCCACATTGCTTTTTTTAATATTAGTTACAGTATTTTAATTGATTACAACCGTAAACCAAAGACTTTTTAAACCATAAAAAGTGATTAAAATGGAACAGTTTTCAATTTAATGTCCTTGTTGATAAGTATCTGGTCAAAATATTGAGAGTAAGCGTGTAGAAAAGAGCTTCATCTGTCACCCGTCTACTCTCACTCTCGAGATAGCGCTCTTCGAGAATTCAATTTTGTCCAAGCAGAATTCGCCTTCTAATTGCACTGTAGAATCAAATTTTTTCAAATTTGCTCAAACAAACTATTCTTTATACTAACTAGTCCTTAATACGTTTTTGCTGCTGTTAAATTCATGCTATACGAACAAGCGATCAAATCGCTACAACGATAATATTCATAGATAGCTAATTTGAATACTATTTTAGCTTATTTTTATTCTACGATGAAGTTTATTGAATTTTTGTTCGTCATGTTTCGATGAGATTTTTAAGAGAATTTCATCGATTTTGCGATTAATATTAGTACTATATTTCGAATCCAACAATCACTTTGGCTTCACTTTTTCCATCCTTTTGTGTATGTTTCTATCAATCTTTCGCTCACTCTCTCCTACTTTCTGTCTCAACTCTTCTCTCATTGTTTAAGCTGTCAATCTTTTTTTTCCACCAACTCTTGCTCTCCTTGTCTCTCTTGTTTTGACAACAAGAGCACTTTCTACAATTGCTTGTCAATGATTGAATTTTCATTGAAACGAATGAACTTTTTCAATGAATGTGCCTCCTATAAACATCAAGCAACTGATTAGAGAGAAACCAATTTAGGCTAGGCAAACTTGTAGAACTTGAAATCAGTAGAAAATTGCTTCGAAGAAGTTCAGTTTTGCCTTATATATGAACGCTAATTTTACCAGTAAAAAACATATGAAAACGGTGGTTTTTTTAAAATTCTGAATAGTAGGACAATAAGTGGAATTGTAGAAACAGAGAGATAGCACACATTACAATATCTGAAAAAAGTATCTCTAGCAACAGTTCTATCATTTCCACTCGATCATCTTTCAAGAGAAAAATTGCGAGAGAAAAAACCCAGTCGACAAAGTGTTCTGCTACTCGTTAGACACACTTTGACAGCAAGTAAATTTATTTCCATTAGACTCGCATAAGATGCATGAGGAGATGTTGTGACGAACAAAGCGACAGAAAAAAAGTAATTCTATACTGTCAACTTTATCAAGATGTTCACAAGACTAGGAGTTATTTTTCTTGGTTGCTTTCTATCTGTATCAACGACGCCTATGATCTTATACAAAAATGCTCTATTCAAACCGATCAATTCTGACTTTCAACTCAGCAATCTCTATTCAATCACTTCACAGAATGATTGTGCCTGTCAATGCTACAACGATTTTCTGTGCATCACAGGCACTTTTTACGGCGACAACCAAAGTTGTGTTCTCTTCTCTGCACACTTGTGGCAAGGACAGTTACAAGTGACCAACAGCTTTACAAGTGTTTTCACCTTCGCAAACCGGACCATTTTCGTCGGTGAGTGAATCCTCCATAATCATTTCTTCTCATAATAACACTTATGCTGCTCAGAAGCATAAATGTAAATCTATCTAAAAGATCGTCAACTTTATTGTTAGTAAAAAATACTTGTTTACTAACGTTATTCAATCAGAACAAATTGAAGTTGAGTATGGTGATGGAAAGAGAGGTCGATCATTCTGTTTTTCATCGCTATGGTGCTTTGTACAGAGAAATCGACGTCGTAAGTTCAAATCTTGTAAAGATTGAGTTATAGAAACAAGCGAAGCGAGGAGTGAACCATTGATCAAGAAAGAAAGCACTGATGTGAATGAGTTCATAAGCAACAGCTTTGCGTTGACCAGATCCGAGTGAATCCCAGCGATAATTGAGTTATTTTTCGATGAAGGCATGACAGGCACGAAAGACCTTTACGATGTACTTGTTTCGTGCCTAAAAGCAAAGAACAATGAATCAATAATGATATTCTTGAGCAATATAATTGACACATTCGATATTCATGAGTATTGATAGATATCGAAAGTACTTTTTGGTAGAGCGGCTATTCACGTTATCTTAAGTCCATTTCCAACATCTTCCACCGGTTTCTTACATTCTTTATTGTATCTTTGATACAGATCATAGAATGAGTGTTGACTTATTGTTGATAATAAATTTCTAATCGTGATCTTGTCACCGTAAAACACTTATCTTACATCTATTTTTTCATAGCAATAAAAACAATCAGTGTCAGCAAGTCATTGTCACTCGGATATCACCTGAGAAGACATGATCACAGTCCTATTTCTTCACTAACACACCTTCACATATAGAGACTATCTTTCTTCAAATTCAAAGTATAAAAAAACGACGGCAACCTCTCTTTTAGAAAGCACCATGAATCCAATAATGACGACACCAGGTGAGTTTATTACATATTTTCACTCGTGATCCTTTGCTATACGCAATTGACGATCATGAGTAAAAGAGAAGACCAGTGTATCACTTTATTATCTGCATAGATCCCTTTTCATGCGCAAACATGACTGTATACAACAGCACTGACTTTTATGGATTCGATGTCGACCTCCGGGTAGGCATAACATGGGCATCGTGTTGTACTCTGTGTCTTCTCAACACTGCTTGTCAAAGCTTCACATGGACCATCTCCGCGGGCGTCTGCTATTTAAAAGGTAGACCTACGAACAATGGCAGCTTCAGTTCGAATTGTATATCTGCAAAATATCCCTGAACAAAGAATAGGCAGCTGCGAAGTTGAAATGACTCTATACACTCTTTTGTCAGTCATATTCACTGTTCTTTATAAAAAAGAAAAGTGAGATTTAAACACTACAAAAGTAGCGAGCTTGATGTTTTTTTTATTGTCCGTTTGTGAATTCATCCAGAACAGTATTCTAAAAACTACAACCCATGAAATGACGTACGAGAAAAGTTTATATTGCCTTAATAAAGTCATTTTAAACAATCATACATGACTTGTTGCCCGAGGGTGTGGGTGTGGGTGTTATTTTTTCTTTGTACACACGTACACCCACCCACACCCACACCCCACACCCACCCTAATATATGGCGTCATGACAATGATAGAAAAAAAGACATAAAGTGCAAATGATGTCACCATCTAACAATACGGTTCGAAAATGAGAAGATAGTAGAGCGAACATACATAAGTTAAAATACAAGAAGCGATTCTGTTCTTTTTTTCTTTAATTCTTCACAGAAAGAACAGGCAAAAAGTGTATGTCAGATTCAGACGAAAGAAAAAAAAATAGTTACTATCTAATTGAAAAATAAATAAACGATTCTGAAAAAGTTAAAGTTTAATGGGCAAAAGCTTACTAATCAAAATTACAGTGGGCAAATCTCCAAATCGAATGGGTGATTGCCCATTTGCCTCTCCCTTTGTTACGCCGCTGTACAATATACCTGCAGAAGAGATCATAAGCGTGGTTTTTCGATCGAAATTCTTGGTTTTTTTTCCCGATAACACCTCTTGAAAACATCATCATTCAACAGGGAATAAAACTCTGCATCCATTACAAACAATTGGAATGTCATCGCAAGGCCAAGAGTGAATATCAGTAATAAAAGCTCGAGTCTGTTGCTAACTTTCTTTACGCCTTTTGTTTATTGGTATAAGACTGAAAGTAAAATCTTTCTTTTAATTTAAAACTTTATTTGTGTTGAGATTGAAGACCAGATGATGTTTGACGTATACTAAATTATTTATTTTACCATCGATTATATTTTCTTTTGGAAGATTGAAGTAACTATATTAATAGAAAAATACAGAACAAAAAAAAACATGTCACCCTCAACATTGTTCCTTTTTTTATTTCGTCATCACATTACATCATATATTCTATCCACTTTTAATTACATATTTACTTATAAAAGAAATCATTAATTTTCTTTATTCTATCTTAATTTTTATTTGAATAAAAACATAAACATAGACAAAAGAGTTCAGTTTTTGTTTCAGAAATAATCGTTGCATGAACATTGTCCATTTGTATAGAAGTGATGTATTCGATTTGCATCACGAACGATGATTTCACATTGACGAATAGCAGCTATTAATTTTGTTGCTTGATCTATGAAGAAAAATCAAAACAAAGGATAGAAAGAATGATTATGAAGATCACTTACGACAATCACCACAAACACGAAGATTCTTAGTCACTTGAATACGTGTTGCATTGGGATTTACAACAAAATTCCATGCAATTGCAAGTCTTTCACTATGTCCACAAAGTACTGATTCAATAGTTTCATCCTTATCCAAGAGTCGTGTAATCCAACTTGAATCGTATTCATGACCATGTTCAATAAGTTCCTTTGATATTTTTTCAAGTTCAGCATAGATTTCAGATGATCGAGGATGAGATCGATCATGAGCCCGAAATTGCTAAGAACACAAAAATAAAATTATTTTATAGTATCTATGTGAAAAATAATTATAGTTGTAGATTTACAAAGAGTTGTTCATTGACTATAGTCCATGAAAGACCGGCTTTTTTCTTTGCACCTGTTTGAGTCAATTGAATTCTAATATCTAATGCCTTTTCAATATCACCTGATGATGCATAAACATTAGCAAGAAGAACTGTAGCTGATGTCAATGAGTTGGTTAATTCGGGAAAAAGTTTCTTTATACGATCAAAAATTGTTTGAGATAAATGAATATTCCTGTTGTTTCGAGCACCTGATAACAATGCCCCTAGAATAAAAATAAATAAATCAGAATTGAATTTTTTTACAACAAACTTTCATTTTTTGACAAACATTTTCTATCAATCCTTCATTTGAAAAATGAACTTGTTAAATATTTGTAGGAAATATATTTTAGAAAAATTTTCTTACACTTCATTTAGATTTTATTTAAATCAAAAATGAGATTTGATAATCGATAGAAAATGTTCAATTCTCAACTGTGTACAATCTATCAATTGATCGAGATGAAAATAAATTTAATAGTAAATCGAAAAGTCTATCAGATAAGTTGAAAAATATTTTAATGATACTGACTATACATAGGCAATGCAGGTGAATGATCACGTTCAAATTCATCAATCAATTTTTGTACTTCTTCAAAAATTGATGCACGACTAAGACAATCAATCTAATAAAAATGAATCAATTGAATTTGTTCAAATTTAAAAAGAAAATTAAAAAAAAAGTGAGTAACATACCATAGTAGTATAAATTTTCTGTTTTAATTTGAATATTTGAGAAGATTGAACGAGCTTGATCAACAAGTCATGAATGTGAACATGCATTTAGAACACAAATATAATTTGATTCATTCATAAATTCTGATGACATTTGACAGTAAAGTTCAACTGCTTGAATACCCATTCCATTTAAACCATAAGAATTAACTAATAATCAATAAACAAACGAATCTTCTTTTTTTTGTTTTCAAAGTAAAACAAACTCATTGATCCATATTCGATTTGATTTGATTCAGGAATTTTTTCAAAAATTTCTATTGCACGATCAATACATCCAATTTTGCCCTAAATTAATATTTTAAAGAGAAAAATAAAATCTCTTTAAAACTTACCCACATATTGACTAATGCATATTGAATTTTATCATTAACAAGAAAATAATTTGGAATTTTTTCAACAATTGATTGAGCTAGTGAATAATCACCAATTTGAGATAAAGCTTTGATTATATAAAAATAAATAATTAAATCTGGTTCAATATTATCAATTTTCATTTGATTAAATAAACTTAAAACTTTAGCAGGATTATTTGATTTAAAAAAACCATTCATTAAATTTCCATAACCTATTACAGATTTTTTCATTTTTGAAAAAAGAATTTCTGCATTTAAACAATCTCCACATTGAATCAATGCATCCAATAGAGCAGTTAAAAGATGAAAATTTGAATGAAATGATTTTGGAATTTGTGATGATACTTTTTTTGTTAAATTTAATGCTTCATTAGTTCCTAATTGAGCACAAGCATTAAACAAAAGTATTATGATAATTTCATCATTTGGATTTTGAATTTTATTGAACAAATCAATTGCTTTATTTGTCATATTATTATTAATATAACCTAAGAAAAAAGAAAAAAAATGTTTTTAATCAAACATAATAAATAAATAATTATTACCTTTCATCATTGCTCCATACATTGGTAAAATTTTCTTTGTTAATGCATCAAATAATGATTGAGCATGTGTTACATCACCACATTTAATTAATGAATCTAATAGAGAAGTTAAAAGACGAAGATTTGAATAAAACAATTTTGGCATTTGTGATGACACTTTTTTTGTTAAACTTAATGCTTCACTAGTTTTCAATTCAGCACAGGCATTGAATAAGAGATTTGTAACAATTTCATCCGGATCCTTTATTTCATTGAACAAATCAATCGCTTTATTTGCCATATTATTTTTAATATAACCTAAGAAAAAAAATAATAATAATTTTGATTAAACATACTGATAAATAGACGAAGTGATAATTCTTACCTTTCATCATTGCTCCATACATTTGCAAGATTTTCTTTGATGTTGAATCGAATAATAATTGAGCACGAGTCACATCACCACATTGCACTTTAATCATGAAAATAAAAAAAAAGAAGAATAAAATTTTCTTGTTAAAACTTACTATAGAGATGAATTAATGATGTTAATATGTAAGAATTATCTTTTATTCGTGACGGAATAAGACGATGAATAGTTGAACCACGTTGAAGATCTCCAATTTGAGCAGATGTTTTCAAAGCTTGAGTAATGATATAACTAGAAAGTGTTTGATTATTTTTTTCCTTGTATGTATCAAATAATTCAAGTGCTTTTTTAAATTGTTTCTTATCATTGAGCAATTTCATTTGAATACCCAAATCAAAATCAGATGGAATAGTCACTGAAAGTCTAACAAAAACTATTCGAGATGTCAAACGATGATTTAATAATTTCATTAGCATTGAATTGTTTTTCTTTTTAAGTTTCTTTTTTACTAGGGATAACTAATAATAAAATACTAACAGATCTAAATTTTTTCTATTCAACTTATTGAACATTAATCTAAAACTAACCAAAAATTAATCTCTGCAATAGAAAAGAGGGCGTTCTGTATTAGCGCTTACAGACATTTGTGTATTCATGACGTCACTTTTTTATAGATGCCGCCAGTAAATCGCGGTTTATCGACAGTTCTGTAGCTTAATGGGGTTTTACAGATAAATAAATTTATAATATGATTTTGATAAAGATTATATCTTTTCATTGATATAGAGGGTATGGGTGTCTCGAAAAGCACGCCCACATCCGAGTTTAAATATCCAGATAATATGTCCGTTCTTGTTTCGAATAATATCATGTTTTTCTTTTCAAACTCAACTAGTATTTTATTATCTTGGTTCCTGATGTATAAGAAGCAATTCGAAAGCTTTAAAAAAACTTTATAAAATAAAATGAAGCTAATTTCTTACACACTATTTTGATTTATAAGCGAAAAAAGCTTTTAAAGCATGACATAGTCAAATATTACAATAAGTTGTTTCCAGTGTTATTCATAAAAATTAGAATAAAATTCATGGATTGTTTCGAGCTATGAATACTTATCCATATCTGAAATACAAAATTATTAAAAAAAAACTTTTGTATGAATACGTAAAAGATCTTTGAGAAATTTCCGATTAGATTATCATGAAAGCTTAATTTAAAAAAAATGAATTTTATTAGAAATTAATATTAGTTCAAATTAAGTTCTTTTTAATGTCTAAGCATATTTGAGTGATTAGATATTTTTCACTACTAGAAAAACTAAATAAATAAAAATTTCAATGAAAAAATAGAAAAGAAATGAAACAAATTCGATCGAAATTAATTATATGTTTGCTGTTAGTGATAATCAATGTGTTAAATAAAGATCATTTTCTATATCCAATAGTAATTATATATGATACAGTTTATTCATTTTGAAGATTTGAAAAAAAAGGTACAATGAAAATAAATTGTTTTTTTTTTCATAAAAAATAAAAACCTTATGTTGAATGATGAATAATTCATAAATTATTTTAATAAGCAAAAGCCGAAATATTTGGACCTTGAAGACAAATAATATGTTATTGAATACGAGATAAAGTCATTAAACGTACTCATTTTTGCGATGTACCAATTGCGAGAAAATATTCACCTTAACTAACTAATTATATCAATTTTATCATTATTTTCTATATTAATTGTTCACTCACATGCATATTTGAACCCCCATTATTGATATTATATACATAAATAAGGGATCATCCATAAAGAATGTTTAGGTTAAAATCGCGTTTTTTTGATTCGTTTTCCTCTGTCCAGATTTGCTCATTTTCTGGATGTTCGGTGTAAAAAAAGAACAACTTTCTATAAAAAGCCTGCTTATTCAAATACACTGCTTCCTTTTTACTAAAGAACAGTTCATTAAATAAATAATGTATCAAAAATAGATGACTACAAAAGATAGTAAAAATATAAATTGGTACCAAAAAAATCTAACAACCCTCATAGTATTGTTCGAGAAAATATGTAACTGTTCATGTAGTATAATCTTCAACTATTTCAACACCATATTCATATTCAACTGATTTACATTTAGTTCATTTCCTATTTCAAAATACCCTTCAAAACAAACTAAACTTTCAAATTTCGTTGAAGTTTGTGTGAAAAAAAAGGAAAATATAGTAAATGTCTGAACAACTGGAAATATTTGACTGTCTTTAGAATATGGGTGTGAGTCGGTGCGAATATGAATAAAATATACCCACGCCTACCATCCACATCCACACCCACCCAGATTGATATGTATAATTTGTTCAGTTAGAAAAGATTTCGTTTATTTGCAATGAGAAGTTGAAGCGAGACTTATTGAAATTGCTCGGAAATTTTATTCATCTAGTGTATGTGCTCGTGAAAATCATCGTGTGATGAAATGGATTGAAGGGGCGGCAAAAGAAAGCATTGTCGTGGTTGATGGTAAAAGACAAGGAAATGGTCTTAACCAACTGAATGATCTTCGAGGAGTTGCTGCCGATCCACTAGGCACTGTCTATGTTGCTGATTATGAAAATGATAGAATCATGTGTTGATCCAAGGGAGTCACACTAGGAAGCATGATTATTAGTAGAAAGAGTGGAGAAGGAGGATCGAATCGCCTGCATGGACCCAATAATTTATCAATTGATCAACACGGCAATCTCTATATCATCGATCAGTATAATCATCGTATGCAAAAATTCGATAATCGGTTAAAATCATAGTTATTGTCAGCTGACATTCGTTAAACTTTTTTCTCTATGATGATCAATCGAATAAATTTAACATACTTCTTTTACTTTGAGTCAACGTGAGAGCAGTTGGAGATAAGAATGAGTACTCCATAAAAATGGCTACGACCCAGGCTTCAACCTTTTTCAAGGATCATTTTCTGGTAGTTTCATATTACTCTATATAGAATGTAATAATCAAACTGTTAAGTTTAAATTTTAGATATCACGATCGATGCTAGTAATAATTTCATACAATGAACTTTTTTTATTATTTAAAAAAGATTTTACACATTGTTCGATGAGACTAGGTATTGAATCCTAAAATACATTAATTTCTGTATCAAACCTGCTAGAGATATTTGAGAAAAACATTTCGTACATTTCAATTTGTTATACACCTTGTATTCAATGTTCCGTACCTTCAGCACTTAACTTCAAAGTCATCCTTCCATGAAAAACACGATCTTCAATCATCCGCTCTTCTCGATAGATGGTTCTCTCACATAATAATTAGGTTGAAGTCTACTAAGATTCTAGTTTGTTCAAGAACTGACCATCTTTACCATATGTATAAAAAAAAGACCTGCAACCGAAATTGATCTGTGTATAATATTGGAGAAGAACATAATTTCAATATCACATGAAAACTATTGTTATCAATGGGATATGATGAGTTTTAAATACGAGACGAATTTCAATGTTTTCAATGTAGTACAATATCATGTCCTCTAACCTGGTCTGTCTTAGAATCAGACGGAAAATCTCATCTGAATATGCATATGATAGTATATGAAGACGATGAAAAGTTGGAAGGAAAGTTTGGTTATATTTTATTTAGGAGAGGAGAGAAAAAATTTGAGAAGATTATGCGAAATCTGTTGGATTCTTGTGTCTGGGATAGATTGTAGGTTCTGACAATTTCCAGCCAGTTTTGTCCTAATCCTTACTGGAAACGGTGGAAAGTCGCCAGGATAGACCTAGTGTCCTCGAAGTTTCAGTAGAATCCGCTCGACGAAACCATCAATTATAGTTTGTCCAGGAATTTGGAAGTTAGAAGGTATCATAATATAATAGACGTGTATAAAACTTTTTAATTTTTCTAAAAGATTCTAACACACAGTTGATCTGAATGTCGAATAGTTAACTTTTATTGATAAAAATGTAAAAAAAAAAAGTGTTCGTATGACAAATTTTGAAGTCGTCAGTTTTAATGCATATTGGAAATAATATCGATGGTAAAGTTAGCAGTATAGTTCATATATTGAACGTTGCCATCTTTATCAAAAGACATAGGTGTCCAATAAGTAAAATCATGCCCTTTGGCACCATCCGGAGAACTTTGCCATCTGTCACCTTGCCATAGATATCCATAACCTTCAGGCCCACTAGTTCTATACTGTAACACGTTGAATTGTTGAGCATGACCTTCATTTCCTAGATTATTCTTTGTTTGATAAGGACCAAGTGGAGATGACGACGTATAGACAGTGACACCAGATCCTTCTTGACAGTAACAACAGCATGCGCCGAATACTGTATAATAAATTCCGTTGCGTTTGAACATTGCAGGCGCCTCAACACCCGACTGACCGAAGAATCCACTATTAAACTGTTTACCAAGTGAACTAAGATAATCATCAGATAGTTTCTCCACAGACATTAAGTGATCAGGATTGTAACCCTGAATGTGTGAAGTATAAATAATATAAGCATCTCCGTTATCATCTTGAAACAAATTCATATCTCCTGTATCATTCCATGTCAGACTAGTAATGTTATCATTGACCAGTTGAAAAGGGCCTTGTGGTGTATCCGATATGGCTACAGCATACAAGGACTCAGAAAAACCTGGGCCTTTAACTGGCAAATAATTAAACCACAATACCCATTTCTTCGTCTTCGGATTCCTTAAAACTTTAGGACAAAACATTATTCCTTGATTCTTCATTGAAGACATTTGAAAGACGTAACCACGAAATGTCCATTCGGAAAGATCTGATGAAGTATAAAGACTGACATTATGATTGAGTTGAAAGCCACAGCTACCCGGTTGCAATGACACACAACCTGATGGACCTGGAGGTTCTTTGCAAAGACCATAACTTGGACCAAAATAGTAGTAAAGACCATCGTATAAAAGGACACTGCCATCATGTGCATCTATGATATTACCATCGGTATCTCGTCGTGGAATTACATTGCTAATTGACACTTGCCGGCATGTGATAAGACTAATTACTGTAGTCGAAATTATGATGACGACTATAAAATTTACGAGCATTATGAAACTAGTAAAATTGAAAATAAATTTCTACGTGTTGTATAACGAATATGAAAATGAAGACAAGTTTCTTTTATTTTTTTATCGCGTTTTTTAGTATTATCATCTTAAACAACATCATCCCTAGAAAGGCATTGATAAGAAAGATGAATATTTCTTTATGTTTACAGCAGAGGTTAATAGCTTATTATTTCTAAGTTTTTTCGTTCGAACAGTTGAGGGTGTGGGTGTGGGTGTGGTTGTGGTTGTGAGTATTAATAGAGAAAACACCCACATCCACACTCCACACCCACACCCACACCCACACCCTCACTCACCCACACCCACACCCTCCTGAAGTGATATGAATTTTAAAATTTTTCTTGCACCAAAAATGAAATTTAGCATCAAT